AATTAGAGAAATGCAAATCAAAACTACTTTAAGATTTCATCTCATTCCAGTCAGAATGGCAGCTATTAAGAATACAAACAACAGTAAGTGTTGGCGAGGACATGGGGAAAAAAGCACACTCATACATTACTGGTAGGTCTGCAAATTGGTGCAGCCAATATGGATAGTAGTATGGAGATTCCTTGGAAAAGTGGAAATGGAACCACCATTTGACCCAGCTATCCCACTACTTGTTTTATACCCAAAGAACTTAAAAACAGCATATTATAGTACTAACACAGCCACATGAATATTTATAGCAGCACCATTCACAATAGCTAAATTGTGGAACCAGACTAGATGTTCTTCAGTAGATGAATGAATAAAGAAAATGTGGTGTATATACACAATGGAACATTACTCAGAATTAAAAGAGAATATAATCATGGTATCTACAGGTAAATGGATGGAGTTGGAGAATATTATGCTAAGTGAAGTAAGCCAGCCCCCCTAAACCAAATGCTGAATGTTTTCTCTGATATGAGGATGCTGATCCATAATGTGGTGGGGAGGGGCATGGGAGGAGTATATGAACTCTAGATTTGGCAAAGGAGAAAAGGGGAAGTAGGGGAAGTGACAGGGAAGGGGAATAGGAAAGATGGTGGTATGAGATGGACATCTTTACCCTAGTACATGTATGAAGACACAAATGGTGTGACTCTATTTTATGTGCTACCAGAGGCATGAAAAACTGTTCTCTACATGTTACCATGAATTGAAATGCATTATGCTGTCATATATAAAAAATAGAATAAATAAAAGTATTAAAAAAAGGAATGTGACAGAGATAATTAAGAAAAAGAGGAAAAGTCACATAGTATTTACTTACTGCCTGGTGCTGTCTAAATAATTTAAATTGATTAAACTTTTAATCCTCATAAAAGCCTGGCCCTAGGTACTATTATTATTCTTATTTTATAGATGAAGAGACTGAGACAAAGATATATTAAAATATTTGCCATAGTTAAGAAGAGGCGGAACTCGAATTTGAATCAAAGTAGTCAAGGGCAATTTAGGAGTTGTTTTATTCTGATTTTCATCACTGTGACCAAAACACCTGACAATAGAGCAGGAAAGATTTATTCCAGCTTCCAGTTTCAGACATTTTAGTCCATGGTCAGCTGACTCCATTGCTTTGGGCCTGAGGTGAGGCAGAACATCATGGCAGAAGGGCATGGAAAAGGAGAGCCAGTTGGTTCATGACAGCCTGCAAGCAGAGAGAGAAAGAGGTTGCAGACAAGATAAATCCTTCTAATGTGCACACAGCAAGAGAGTGACTTGCTTTCTCCAACCTCCCCGAAATTCATTCAAATTACTAACCTATTATCAAATGGATTAATCTTCTGATGAAGTTAGAGCCCACATGATCCAATCATTTCCTAAAAGCTTCACTTACCAACATTGCTGCATTGGGACCAAGCCATTAAGTAATGAGCCTTTGAGAGACATTCCAGATCCAAAGCCTAACAGGAGCTTTTGCTCCTAAGCATTTTGACATATTTTTTATTGGTGAAGACTACTTCAAGAATAGTGATAATGAGACTTGATGATCATTCGAACATGAAAAGTAAAAATGCTTCCGCATACAATAAGTATTTTTGGTGAGTTACAAGAAGATGGCTTGTTTTTTCTTTTTGACATGATTGATTACCTGAAATGATTCTTGCAGGGACTCCATAAACATCAACCAGGTAAAAACCAAAATGAAGAATTAAATTAAGATGAATTATCTACAAGATCTGTTATTTTTGTCGTAGGGGAAGCAAGAAGACAATATGTAGTAAAATTATTTTGTGGCAATTAGCATACTATAATTGAGTTTTTCTTTTCTCTTTGGGTACCAGAGATTGAACTCAGGGGCACTTGACCACTGAACCACATCCACAGCCTTATTTTTTGTATTTTATTTAGAGACAGGATCTCACTAAGCTGTTTGGCTGGTTTTGAACTTGCAATTCTCACAGGTGTGCACCACAGCACCTGGCCTGTAACTAAGCTTTGATGTATAAATTATGCTTAAAAATTATGAGCACTTAACTTGTGCAAGGTCATGGGTTTAATCCCCACTACCACAAAAGAAAAGAAACAGGAAAAAAACTCCTTAAAACTATATTTTGTTATGAATAACATACATGCTTGTTATATAAAATGTACAAGCAATATATAACAAAACTTTTAAAAGTCATAACTATCCCATTAGGACCTCATTAGGGAGATTAAATAACTGCTCCTAACTCACACATTTTTGGTTCTTCTGGTGTGAATATGTAAGCATGCTCAACCTTTGAAAATCAAACATATGCCCATAGAGTAATATAGCTTTAAAACTTACCTTCTGAATTACACAAATGTATTTTACATAGATCTAACAAATGTTAAACATATTGTATCACACAAATGTATTAAACTCTAATTTGATTCAGTTTCTAATATGAATTAAATTCACAAATATTTCTTTTCCAATGATGTTTCTGATATGAATCTTATTTCTTTAATAGTATGCTAATTCAAACAATTTACCCTAACTTGAACATTTACTACTTCCAAACATCTTAGAAAACTTAGATGCATTCTATAATAACCTGAAAAACACTTTTAAAGTGCTGAAAACAAGATAGAAAGTTCCAAGATATTTTCATGTAATTCAATTCTTGACAAACATCAATGTCTGTTTAATTACACAACTTTTAAAACACAAAGACAATAAAATTTTGTGCATAACCTTTACATGAAACTTCAGTAATTTACCTGAACATCTTGCTTTGTATATATATTTTTAGATACAGATTTAAAAAAAGCAAATAGTCTAACTGTTATGAATATAGATTAACAGCAAAACTTGCCAGGTGAGAATAAAGTCTTACCTTTTGATTATATGTTTCTACAGATAACTAATACATGAAATAGACCTTTTTACTAGTTTCATTTATAAAGGCAATGAGTAACAAGTGCTCATGTCTTTTGAAAATACATGCCAAAGTAGGGCATAAATAATAATAAAATCTCAAAAGCTGGATTGTGTATCTTCCATCTACATGGGAAGATAAAATATTTTTGGGCAAGTTAAAAATTATCCTGGAGTCACTTTGACAGCAAAATCAAATGCTTTTATATATATATAAATATGTATTATATATATATATATGTATATATATACACATACATATATATGAAAAATTTGATCATATCAAGAAAAAACTGTTAATACTTAAGACAAAAGTGCAATTATTAAAACTAAAATATGGTGCAGGTGCAGTTTGTTGAGGAAATGTTACTCATGAAACAATCATGTTGCAATGAATGTGGGGTCTTAGTCCATTTTGATAACAACCATGTACTGCTTGTGTATATTCTGGGAAAAAATGTTAATTATGGGGCAATAATTCTATCAACGGGAGTTTCTACAGTGGCCACACCACTGTGGAGTAGTTTTGTTGGAGAGCTATTTCTCAAATTAGCAGCATATTTCAGATAAAGAAAGGAAGTCGCCTTAACTTGAAACTGCTGTGTCATTTCTTCTTCCTTAACTGAAATTCCAACCAGGGTTCAGGAAGTGCCCTAATGAGCCACTTCTCCTTTCTCTTTCCTCAACTAAGTGGATTCCAACCAGTCCAAACTATTCATTACTCATGATCAGACCATTTACTCCGGTTGTCTCTTTGGGCCCAGTGCTTGTGTTATGGGAAAAGGGATTATAATTTGAAGCTGTTTGTAGAGGTGATTACACTGATAGAATCCAATCAGTCCTGGTAGGTAACGAAACTGACAGGTTAATTTTCTGTACTTTAAACAAACTATGAAGACAAGTCTAATCAATATCTATTTTACTTTGCTGTGTGTAGCTTGCTTATAATTATGATTTCATCTTGTGTGATGAGTAGGTATCAGGATGTTAGAATAG